GCTGGGCCCATGAGCCGTGGCCGCTGAGCCTGTGCATCCGGAGCCTGTGCTCCGCAACGGGAGAGGCCACAGCAGTGAGAGGCCCGCGTACCGCAAAAAAAAAAAAAAAAAAAAAAAAGTGTTCACAGGGACCTGGAACCATAATTAGGAGGACTGTTATCAAGATGAGCCAGAAATCTCAGCCGCCTTCTCCCACCAGCTGCTCCCTGCTCTCAGGGCCCTGAGCAGAGAGAATGGTATATTGTTGGTGGGTACACCTGGGGCCATAGACACCTCTTTCCCATGACTGGGGGACACTGCATACCTGTGATGGGATCCTGGCAAGGCACTGAACTCCTGTGTTCAGGCTTTAACCACCGTCCGTTAACATAGTGACCCAAGTGCCGGTCCTGGGTGTCCAGCCAGGCCTGGGGGAGGTGGAGAGAGTTCGGAAAGGGGTCTGAGAGGCAGCTGGCGGAGCTCTATCCCTACCCAGAGTCCTCTGGGAAGAGAATACCCGCCCCCTTTGCCCCATCAGTTATTTTCCCGTGTAGGAGGAAAATACACATAAACATAAAAAATACATAACATGAAATTCACCATTTTAAAGTGTAAATTCAGGGCATTTTCTAACAATACATTCACAACATTGTGCAACCATCTCCACTATCTACTTTCAGAACATAGGGAATTCCCTGGCGGTCCAGTGGTTAGGACTCCACGCTTCCCCTGCTGGAGGCCCAGGTTCGATCCCTGGTCACGGAACCAAGATCCCACGTGGCGAGCAGCACGGCAAAAGAAAAAAATCCAGAATATTTCCATCGCCCCAAAAGGAAACTCCATACCCATTAAGAGCTCACCCTCCCTTCTCCCCTGCCCCCAAGTCCTGGCAACCACTAATCTGCTCTCTGTCTCTATGGACTGGCCTATTCTAGACATTTCATATATAAATGGAATCCTACAATACGTGACTTTCTGTGTCTAGCTTCTGTCACTCAGCTTGGTGTTTTCGAGATTCATCCGCACTGTAGCATTGATCAGAATTTCATTACTCTTTATGGCTGTATGATATTCCATTGTCTGGAGAGACCACATTTTCTTTACCCATTCATCAGCTGATGGGCATTTAGGTTGTTTCTGCCTTTTGGCTATTGTGAATAGTGTTGCTGTGAATGTTCACGTACAAGTCTTTCTTCGAATAACGTCTTTACTTCTTTTGGGCATATATCTCAGAGTGGAGCTGCGGCTCATATAGCAATGCTCTGAGTAATTCATGGAGGAACCACTAAACTGTTTTCCACAGCAGCTGCATCACTTTACATTCTCACCAACAACATATGAGGGACGTCCTATTGACTTTTACACATGGAGAATGTGAACAAAGGATTAATAAAACTTGTTCTCCATGGAGAAATGACCTTCTTGAATAGAAATGACTTTCTATTTCCCTGGAAATCTGATACAATTCAGTTATATTTCTAGATAATATTGACCCCCGACTGGTCCACTGCACCTGGACTGGGAAAACTGGGAATATACCCTAAATATCCAGTGGGAAGCCAGAACTTTGGGGCTTCCTGAAGTGCTCTGCATTCTTGTGATGGGCATGTTCCTTGCCAGGACCCTTGCAATGCCCATGAGACTGTATCACGTGCTCTTTGGGAGGTGGGGCTTTTAAGCCAGGGGACTCCCATACCTTCCCACATGAGATGGCGTTCCCTCCCACCTCAGCTGTCATCACTCGGGAAGGATGTGACACCCCCCGCCCCCCCACTGAAGACACAGGCCTGCTGCTGCCTTGCCAGGTGAAGTTTATTTGGCTGTGAAGTGCCTAACTGAGCCCAAGGTAGGGAGTCCCTGGAGCCTGGGGCCACATGGCCTGGGTTTGAATCGTGGCTCTGAAACTTCCTTGTTGTGCAGTCTTAGCCTGGGTCTTAAAATACCCTGGTCTTGGCTAACCCATCTGGAAGATGGAGATAATCACAGTCTCTCCCTATTTCACATGACAGTGATGAGAATTAAATGGATCCATATGTGTCATAGGCTCAGAACAGCACTTACTTAAGGCTTCCTATTCATTTTATTGCATTTCATTCTCCCTGTCTGTTTCCTGTTTCTTTCTCTCCCTGTCTTCCCGAAATCCTTTCTAAATCCAAGACATCTTTTCCACTTTTTCCTTCTGCACACTGGCTTTTGTTGTTGTTGTTTTTGGCCGCTGGCTTGCGGGATCTTAGTTCCCCGATCAGGGATTGAACCCGGGCCCCCTGCAGTGAAAGCGAGGAGTCCTAACCACTGGACCGCCAGGGAATTCCCCAAACTGTTTTCTCTTAGCATCCCTGATGCCTTAGTCTCCTGATTTTTCTCTTACCCTACCAACTGGGCCTCCTCATTTTTCTTTAAAGTAAAAAAAAATTTTTTTTTTTGGCTGTGCTGGGTCTTCACTGGGGCGTGTGGGCTTCTTCGCTGTGGGCTTCTCTCTAGTTGCGGCACACGAGTGCAGTTGCCCCGTGGCATGTGGCATCCTAGTTCCCCGACCAGGGTTGAACTCGCGTCCCCTGCGTTGGCAGGTGGATTCTTAACCACTGGATCACCAGGGAAGCCCCCCAAATTTTTAAGTAAAGTAAAAATTCTTAAGTTTCAAATTCAAAGATGCCCCCTCGACGGAAAGACACATTTTTGAAATAGTCGGGCATATATTAACATGGGCTGGGCACTAGATAATAGTAAAGAACGACTGTTAATGTTAAAACAGCCTGGTGGTTATGTTACAAAATGAGTCCTTACCTGTTAGAAATGAAGATTCAAATACTTATGGGAGGGCTTCCCTGGTGGCGCAGTGGTTGAGAGTCCACCTGCCGATGCAGGGGACACGGGTTTGTGCCCCGGTCCGGGAAGATCTCACATGCTGCGGAGCGGCTGGGCCCGTGAGCCATGGCCGCTGAGCCTGCGCGTCCGGAGCCTGTGCTCCGCAACGGGAGAGGCCACAACAGTGAGAGGCCCGCGTACCGCAAAAAAAAAAAAAAAAAAAAACTTATGGGAAAATAACATGACATCTGGGTTTTAAATCACTCCAGGAAAAAAAAGAGAAAACAAAGAGATACAACATTGGATGAAATGTTGATGATTGTTGACATTGAGTGATGATGGATAAATGGGAGTTCATAATTTAAGTACTCTGTGTGACTTTGCAAAATTTCCCCCCGCAAAGAAAAATAGAACCCAGAAAGAATGTTCCACAGGGTCCTGGCAGGCCACCCTGGTGTGAGAAGAGGGCCCTGGTGGAGACTAGGAACTAATGACTTGTCTAAAAAGACAGTTAGCTATTGGAGCCAAATAATCTTTGTCAGGGTATGTGAGCCAAAGGTTGCCAAACTTTGGATTTTTATTTTCAAGAGAAGCTGGAATCCCGGATGTTTACATGAAATTACTTGTCCCCGAATTCACATTTAAAAAAATAAAGTTCAGGCCAAAGAAAACATGTTTGTTGGTTGAGTCTGGCCCACAGATTGTAAGACTGAACTGGGGGGCGGGGTGGGGGGATGGGGGGCATGGGCTCTGGAATCCCAGGGTTCAGGTTCAAATCTCATTTTCACATTTTTTAAGATGTGTTGACTGTTGGCAAATTACTTACCTCTTTAAGCTTCTGTCTGCTATCACTAAAGTAATGACAATTACTGTTTTGGGGATTAAATGAGATCATGCTGAACACAGAGGCTGGCACATAGAAAGCACCCAATAAATATAAGCTATTATCACATTATTGCTATTTCAGAATAGTCCATCTCTAACCAACCTCCAAGTATGGGAATTCTCTATACTCCATCCCAGATCCTCTTATCTGATTCTACACTATAGTTCTAGATAATCTCATCATTCCCACCATTCAATTATCTTCCTACTGTGAGGACCCTGTCTCTAGGCCCGAGGCTCAGGCACAAGTAGTATTTGACTCCTGCACATGGCCCAAGGCTTTCCCTCTCATCATCACCATGTGATAACCAAGCCCATAGTCTTTCCCAAACTTTCTGCCACCCTACTCCTCTTGGGTTCACCATGGGGTGGGGGGGGAGGACAGAGACAGCCAAACCCAGACCCGAGGCATTGTCCTTGTCCTCTCAATACCCCAAACCCTGTTCCTCCTGCATCTGTGCCTCATCTCTTCTCCATCTCTACAGTCCGCACCAGGCTCTGGTCTCATCTTCTTCCACGTGGACCACTGTTCTAACCTCCTCTTTCCCTCCAGAGAAGCCCAAGCTTCTCACACCTAGGTGCTAGAGGGCCCTGTGAGATCAGGATGGCTCCATGGGGGAATTCTGAGGGGGCTGGGTAACTACACAAAATCCGAGGCACCGAAGTTATACATGGGAACCCCAAGATCGTTCTGGGGGACCCTGAGGGATTACGGGAGCCTTAGGGAAGTTCTGAAGTACACGGAGGGATCACGGGAGCCCCACGGGGTTATTCTGCGGGGTTGAAGGTAATTACAGGAAGTTCTGATGTATTCTGGGATTCCGAGGGTTCCCGAGATTACAGGAACCCCACAAGTATTGACGTGACCCTGACGACTCACGGGGGCTCCGCGGAGGTCTCCGGACGACCAAGGGAGCCCCCCCCCAGGAATTCCGAGGGACCCCGGGGGCCATAGGATATTCTGAGGAATCACGGGAAGTCTACGCCCACAGGAATTCTGAGTCCCAGGGGATCACAGGAAGCTCTGAGGCGGCCCTGAAGAATCACAGAAGCCCCTCGGGGGATTCTGCAGAATAGGAGAAGCACCACCTTGAGTTTTGGACCGTGGAACACGACAGCCACTAGGGCTCGCGAGAACAGACTAAAGAGCTAACAGGCAGCAACCGTAAGGGCTCAAGGGAACGTCCTCCGGGGTGGATCCTAAGGAGCGGCGGGAATCACTGGAGCTGAGAGGGGCGGAGCTGCTGAGCTGCCGCGGTGGATCACGGGAGTCCGCGCTCAAAACGGGGCCCGGAGGACTAGGAAGGGGGATGGGCAGCGCCGGCCGGGCAAGCCCTCACCAATGCGCATGCGTGGCTCTCCGGCACCGGTCCGTATTCCAGCGTGGTGAAGATCTCGCAGGCGCGGGATCCTGTGCGCGTCGCAGCCATCACGCTCCCAGGCCGCTTTCCACGGACTGCGGGACTCTCTCCCCAAGAGAACTTCGAGGTCTGAAGGGCGGCACCGCCCCCTCCAGGCCAAAGGGCGGGGCTACAGGAGATAGAGCGTAATCCCGCCTTAGGACCCGGTGACTCCGCTTATAGGTCTGCGCTGGGAAGTGTAGTTTGGAGCATGCGCATTCCTCAAAGCTGGGGGAGTGGGGAACGAAAATATGGATGCCTTCAAATAGGTACGAGGCCTCCAGATTTAGAAGAGTGGCCGTATTGGCGTCTTCCCACCACCCTGTTCATATTGGAGACCGAAAGTGCAGCTTTTAGCCCGAAATATCTTTACTCGAGAATCTAGTCTACCTCTGGGGACGAGGTGATTGTTCAGAGATCAGAAGGGAGTCCTTTAGGATGGACACTGAAGTTAAGGTTTTAAAAGTGTGCCAGCTTTGCCCAGTAACCTGGCCAGATGTGGCTGTAGGGAAGGAGCGGAAGTGTGGCTTTAATCCATATCGGAAGTGTGGCGTTTAGTGGCTTTCTGGATTAGTTTTGATTGGTTGAGGTGAAGGGCGCGGCTTCAGATTTAGACTAGATTGTTCTGTGATTGGTACCGAATGCGGTTGCAGGATAGATGAAGGAGCGTTGGGGTAGTCGGAAGTTCCTGGCTACGCAGAGACCAGAAGAGTGGCTCTCATTTAAACACTTGGCACATAGGGCTTAGAGGGCATCTAGAGACATTGGCTCCCAATAGATTTGATGCAGTATCTGACCTGAGTGAAACTGTAGTCTCAGGCCAGATTCTTAGATTTGCGTACAGAATTGTGGGTGTCGGGAGTCGGTTGAGGGCCCGGGAGCAGGCCTCAGAGTTCGGATCCAACCGAAGGTTGTTGCTGAGGACGCCTAGGTTTCTTCCCCAGGGCCATGGCCGACTTGAAGCTGCTGGTACCGGAGGTAAACGAGGCAGAGACGATGAGCGCTGAGACGGCGCGTTTCGAGGAGCTGCTGCTGCAGGTGCGGACTGAACGGACTCCTGGGTCCCTGAGGATTTGGGAGAGAGTGTGTGTGTGTGTGTGTGTGTGTGTGTGTGCGTGCGTGCGTGCGTGTGTGTGTGTGTGTGTGTACGCTCAGAAACGGGACTACAGTTCCCAGAATACACTGGCGGCGGGGGTGGTGGTGGAGAAACAGTGCCTACGGGAGTTGTAGTTGCTTAACTACTACTACTGCTAGCTGTTCGCTAGTCTCTGGAAGAAATGGGAGTGGGATCAGGGTTGTCCTTCGGGTTCCTCAAAGTAGGAAGGGGACATAGTATGTCTCATGCCCTGCCTAGCTCATATACGTAAAAATTGCTCACTAAACATTTGAGGAACAAATGAGGGGGTTCTGACAGCACAAACGCCAAGCCTGGACGTTGTTTTCTTTCACACAGGCCTCCAAGGAGCTCCAGCAAGCCCAGACAAGCAGACCAGAATCTACACAGATAAAACCTCAACCTGGTGAGAAAGACAGAAACCCAAAGAGAGAGGGATAGAGTCCCAGAGAGAGGTGGTCACAGACTGGGGGCAGGGGACATAGGGAAAGGAGAGAGGAAGGAGACACAGTAGTGGTGTATAGAGGCCTTGGGTGATGGGAGTGAACAGAAACCCAGAGAGGGCAAGGAAGGGACTGAGATCCAGAGAGAGGAGGGGTAAGGGGGAGGGATAAATTGGAAGATTAGGATTGACATATACACACTAATATATATAAAATAGATAACTAATAAGGACCTACTGTATAGCACAGGGAACTCTACTCAATACTCTAATGACCTATATGGGAAAATAATCTAAAAAAGAGTTATATATATGTATAACTGACTCACTTTGCTGTTCAGCAGAAAGTAACAACATTGTAAATCAACTATACTACAATAAAAATTTAAAAAAAAAAGAGAGATGTGGGGTGACTAGGTGGACAGGACTCAAAGACAGAGAGTCAGAAATCCCAGGGGCAGGAAGGGGAACAGACCCAGAAAGTGGAGGACTAATACTCTAGGAGGGGGACAAATCAAAAGAAGGATGGACAGTGAGACCCATGCAGAGACAGATGGTCAAGGACAAACCCATTCCCATCAGGTTTCTGCATAAAGACCAACTCATCTGAAGGGAAGGTTTTCATCAACATTTGTCACTCTCCCTCCATCCCTCCTCCCGCTGACTTGACCGAGGATGAGCTGCTTCAAATGCTGGAGGAGGACCAAGCCGGGTTTCGCATCCCCATGAGTCTGGGAGAGCCGCATGCCGAACTGGATGCAAGTCAGTGCCTTGAGAGGACCCAGGAATCTAGCCCCCTCGGTCCTTTCTTCCCTAGAATCCAGGGCCCAGGACCCTCCTCCCTCGGGACCTAGAAACCTGGCACCCCTGTACTGATCCTTTTCCCCATGGCATATCCCTAGCCTCCTGGGCATCCAGAACTCTCACCGGACAGTCCTGGTTCTGCTCACCTGGCCAGGCTGGCACTTCTCCCTGCCCCACCCCAGGGCAAGGGAGGGCTGGGCAGGTGCTCATTAACTGATCTCCTGGCTGTAGTCCTCGGCCAGCCCTAACCCATCCCTGTTTTCTCCTCCACCCTCTCCTCTGTCTCTGTGTCTCTGCCTTGTCTCACCTCTGTCTCTCTGGAGTTTCTGTCTCTACATCCTTGTGTTTTCAATTCACATATGTCCCCTGAAGCCTCCTGGGATGAAGCTTTGGCCAGTGCCCTGGGGAGTAGGGACTTATCAAAACCCAGAACCTGCCCTTGAGAAACTCTCAGTCATGGGTGAGGATGAAGGAGGCAGATGTGATTTCAATGTGGTGTGACTCTGTGCTGTGCTCGGGGTGGGGTGGGGGGCCTCTTCACTCCCACTGAGGGATCAGGGAAGGCCTCCTGGAGCAGGAGACGTCGGATATAAGATTTCAAGGAACCAGAGCAGTTCATCAGGCCAAGACAGAGAAGAGGGTTCTAGGCAGAGAGGACAGAGGGGTCCAGAGGCTGGAGAGAAATGATTGAATTGAATTGATCAGTAATCAGGAGTGATTGGAAGAAATTTAAAGGGATGAGGTTGCTGGAGAAGTGAACTCTCTCCAGGTGGGAGGGGCAGACCACACAGGGCCTCCAGTGCCAGGCTGAAGGACTCAGTCCCCCCCCTGCGGGTGCTGGGGGGCCTTGGGAGGACTATGAACTGGGGAGGGTCAGGGTCAGCTCTGGGACATGGTGGGGAAGGACCAGAGGGGAAGAGACTGCAGCTGGGAGACGAGGCTGGTGTGAATCCAGACTGGCAGCCGCGTGTCTTGACTTCCTAATGTCTCTGGGTCTGTGGCTGCTATTCTTGATTGTGTTTTCCTTGGCTGTGCCTGGGCCGTGGGGTTCCCACCGAGGGCTGGGGTCTCACCCCCTTTCTCTCCCGGCAGAAGGCCAGGGTTGTACCGCCTACGACGTAGCCGTCAACAGCGACTTCTACCGGAGGATGCAGGTTGGGGGCGGGGCTGCAGGGGAGGCCTGGGCCGGGGCCTCTCCCTCCATCACCCAGCCCTCCCACATCTCCTCTCCCTCTTTCACTCCTAGAACAGCGATTTCTTGCAGGAGCTCGTGATCACCATTGCCAGGGAGGGCCTTGAGGACAAATACAGCCTGCCACTAAATCCAGGTGAGGGGCGGGGCCTGGGCCACAGGGAGGAGCCAAACCTGGAGGAGCTTGGGGGCGGCCCCTGGGAGAAGTGGGACTCGTGTGGGCAGGGATTATATTAGCCCCTGGGCTGTGGAGTTCAGGGAGAGGGATGTGTGAGTCTTGGGAAGGGGGAGAGGGAGCAGGCAGGGGTCTTGAGAGCCTCGAGGGGCGGGACTAAGGCAGGCACGCCTCCTAAAGTCAAGCTTGGGGGTGTGGTCAGATCCCTGGTATCCTCGGCAGAGGGCGGAGCCTCTCCCTTGAGGCTCTCGCAGTGCAAGACCCCCTTCTTCCTCTAGGGGAGGGAGCAAAGGACACCCTGAGCCATGTGACCTTTGATCCTGTGTTCCTTCCCCTCAGAGTGGCGCATATTGAAGAACAGATCTTTCCTGGGCTCTATCTCCCAGCAGAATATCCGCTCCCAGCAGCGTCCTCGGATCCAGGAGCTGGGGAACCTGTACATGCCCGACTCCCCGAGACCTGAGAAAGGGTGGGCATTCAGTGGGCTCCCTATCTCCTGTCTCCCCGACATTCTTTGGAATCTCTCCCGCCATCCTGTAGGTGTTGGTGTCCTGGGGCTCTGGGAACCCAGAGGGAGGAGAAGCAGAACTCCCTCTGGGAAGGTGTCCTGAGGCTGCAGGGCTGGGAGGGAGAAAGAGAGGGAGCGGCCCTGGTAAAGACCTGGCGGCTCTTCTGAGTTCTGGGTCTGGTTCCTCCCCAGCCCTGAGAAGCCTCACCTGAACCTCTGGCTGGAGGCCCCTGACCTCCTCTTGGCCGAAATTGACCTCCCCAAACTGGTGAGTGCACCCTCCACCAGAGTAGGAGAATGAGGTCTGGAAGGGTCGGGGTCTTGGAGAGGGAGTGATGCGGGCTCGTTGTCAGACCTGTGTGAGCCTGGCCAGTGCTGCACTCGGAGCAGGTTGCCTCCTCCGTCCCATGGGGGCCTCAGGCCCACTTCCGGTGCTGTCCTGAGAATGCCCAGTGCATCGTAAGTGCTCAGTCATAAACCTGTAATTACTGTGTCCCACTTTTTTCTTGGGAGGTGAGACTCTTTAAATATGGTGTCCCGACACGCGAGAGTTCTCTCACTGGTCTGTGTTCTTATCGTCCTGTTGCTGGGAAGGGAAGGGTGGGCTGATTCCACTGCATCCCCAGGAAGGTGCTCTGGGACTGTCGCTGGAGATTGGGGAGAATCGCCTGGTGATGGGGGGCCCCCAGCAGCTGTACCATCTGGATGCCTACATCCCCCTGCGAATCAGCTGTGATGAGAGCAAGGCAGCCTTCCATCAGAAGAGAAAGGTACCTGGGGGGCTGGGGGTTGTGGGGAACCAGGGACACTTGGGGACCTGGACCCCTGGGTCTGAGGGGGGAGGAGCTGGGGACCTGGACCCCTGGGTCTGAGGGGGGAGGGGCTGGGGGGTCTGGATCCTGGGTCTGAGGGAGGAGGGGGCTGGGGGCTGGATCCCCAGGTCCTGAACCTCTTTCCCCTTCCTCTCTCTCCTCAGCAATTGATGGTGGCGATGCCCCTTCTGTCCATGCCTTCTTGACTGGGTGTCTCCCTGTGCTTCTACATGGAGGGAAGAGGATGGTGGCTTCCCTAAAATTGAAATAAAAGATTTTTGCCTTTGTTCTTTGTCTGGCTAGGAGTAAATGGGGAGTGGGAGGGAAGAGGGACATTGGACTGGAATCCCATGGAGGTCGCTCCGCCAGCTCAGGCCTCGTCCTCTCCCCCAATCCTCTCCCTGGCCTCCTGGCCTCTAGTCTCTCCCCTTGTTAGTTTCTCTCAAGGCCCCAGAGCTGCCCTTGCCCCACTCCTGTTCACAGCCCCTCTTTGGCTCCCCAGCGCCCCTAGGCGCTTTTTTTTTTTTTTCCCCACCACAGGGCACATGGGATCTTAGCTCCCGACCAGGGATCAAACCCATGTCCCCTGCAGTGGAAGTGTGGAGTACTAACCACTGGACTGCCAGGGAAGCCCCCCTTCATGTTCCCTTGTGGTCTCCTCCTCCCAGTCACTCAGGCTAGTCATACTGAGCAGTGTCCTGACCACACCAGTTTTTTATGCTGTTCCCCTATTTAGTATCCTCTTCTCCAGTATACCTACCCAGGTCTACTCCAGTACCTCTGGTTGTTTGCCCTCACAGGGCACATCTCCTTACTCTACACCCATGCCCTACCCCGACCCTCCCAGTCATCCCTTTTAGTGAGCTTTTCCTGGGAAGCTTTTCAAACTTCAGGCTTTCTTTGATCTTCCCTGGCTGAGTTAGAATCCTCCTCTGGTGGTCCCCAATACCCAGTGATACTCTCATTAGAGCTATGTCCCCTATGGTGTGACAATGCCTGATGCCTAGTAGGAACTCAATAAATATTTGTTGAGTTCATGAATGATTGCCAACACACCTTCCATAGTGAATCCTAGGAGGATAGGTAAATGCAAGAGCCTCAGGGGTAGATGTTGGAAGAACAGCGGGGAGGCCACTGTGGCTGGAACTGAGGGAATTGGGTGGGGAAAGAGGGATTCGATGGTGAGAAGGTGAAAAGTTTTGGGGTTGACATTGAGTAGGGTCCCTTGGGCCTCGGAAATGGCGAACTTGGGCGCCGTGTCCACCAGAGGGCGCAACGCAACTTAAGCCCGTTGTCTCAGAGAACTACAACTCCCAGCGGCCCTCGGAGTAAGCGGCCCTTCAGAAGCAAATGATGAAGTCCAGCGGCCGCTGGGACTTGTAGTTTGCACGGGAACCCTACGTGGGAGGAAGAACTCATTCCCGGGTCCCGAAAGTGTAGGGCTGGGTCCTCTCTGCCTTCCTCGGTCTCCATGGTGATGGTTCCGGCGAAAGTCCGGGATTTGGCAGCTGCTGGGCCCCCTTCCCACTCCTTCCTCCTCACCATCTGCTCCACCTTCACACCTGGCCCGGAGCCGCGACCGCCGCCTCCGCACCCAGACCGGGGATTCTGTCACCACAGGGTGGCGCGTGTGGACGAATCCGCGGGCTAGTCCTCCCTCAGACTCTGGAGTCCGAGCCCCAGGCTCCCTCCTCCCTCTGACCCAGGAGTCCCGGACTCCAGCCTCTCCTCCCTGGCAATCCGGGGTTTTCTCAAACATAGGCAAAATTGTGACACTCAGAGGCCCAGCGAGACAAAGCTAGAGGCTGCAGCGGCAGCGGCTGCCGGGCCACCCCTTCCGTGGCGCCCGCCCGCCGCGCCGGCTGCTCCCTCTCACTCCCTCGCGGACCTGTGTCACATCATGAAAATTTAATCCCAAATGTATTTTTGGCCAGACCCAGGGAGGCAGTGAGGAAAGGAGCACCCTCTTGGGGCCTGGATCTGGCGTCGGAGAGAGGGGCTGGCGGCGAAAGCAGCGGGACAGGACCTGCCAGCGGGCTGGAGACAGGTTGAGGTTCCACCCCAGAGGGGCGGGGCTGGAATTCAGGGGTGGAGTAAGAAATCAGGGGGCGGGGACAGATCCCGGGTGGGGCGGGGACAGATCCCAAAGGGTGGGGCAGAACGCAGGTGCGGGGAGAGGACTCAGTAGCTGGGGACAGAACTCACGGACGTATACCTGGTGCCGATTCCAGGGGGTGTGGGCAAAAATCAAAGCAGGGACAGATCCCAGGGGAGGGGACAGAACTCAGGGGTAAAGAAATATCAAGGGGACACAATTCAAGGGGTGGGGACAGAACTCAGGGTGGGGAGAGAACTCAAAGGGTGGAGATAGATCCGAGGCTAGGGAGGGAATAATGACCAGCAACTGGGGGTGCGGGGAGTATAACTATAAGGGATGAACCCAGATGGGAAGGAAATCGGAAATGAAGGAATTGGAAGGGGAGATGCGCCTAGAGGGGAAATAGAACTGGAGGGACATGAAATTCAAAAGGGGAAAATGGAAACAGGTGGATGGGAGTCAAGGGCGAAGAAACTGGATGGGGAAGAACTAGAAGGGACAATGGGTGTATCGAAATGGGGGTTGGAATCTAGGGAGGGGGAAGGAATTCCCTGAATGAGAAAAGAACCCTCTGAATGAGAAAGTTGGAATTGAGGATATGGCGGCCTGGGGATGGAGGGCGCTGGGCAGGATGTGGAACTGAAGGGCACAGAAATTCGGAGGGATAGGGCTGGGAGGATGAAACGCAAAGGAAATTCAGAGGAAGATGAAACTGTAGGGGATGAAAATGCGGGGACGAAATTAGGGGGAATGAATTGGGGGGAGCAAATCTCAGATGGGGAGGAGAGAAAATCTTGGGTAGAAGGAGCTGGTGGGGGATGGATGAGTGGGGAGTAACTCCGGGAAGGAACAGAACTGGGGGCGATACAACCTAGACAAGTGAGTTCAGAACCCAGAGGCGTGGTCTTGGAGTGGAAGGGCGGGGCACGAACCGGCATGGGGAGCTGCGAAAGGTGGGTGGGATTAGAATACAAGGGGCCGGGTCTAGCATGGATGGGCGGGGCCTCTCCTTGCCCCACCCCACCCCCGACGCTGAGTCCAGTGACAGCCCCCAGACAGCCCGCACTCGCAGCCTCCTTCCCCCCGAGCGGAGCTGCGGGGCCGGCCGGGCCGGGGCGGACCCCGGGTACCCGGACGCGGCCGCCCGGGCCCGCGGGCGGGGGGATCGGCGGGGGGGGGAGGGACCAGCAGCAGGGGCAGCCACCATGGAGTTCCGCCAGGAGGAGTTTCGGAAGCTGGCGGGTCGTGCCCTCGGGAGGCTGCACCGGTGAGCACGGTGGGGGTCCTGGGCGGGGAAGAGCGCTAGGGTCCGAGGAGGACGCCCATTTCCACCTGGGCGCAGTCGGACAGCTAGACAGACGATACCCATGGGTGGGGGGGCACCCATCTGTCCAGTTTTCTCCCTCAGTCTCCGACGGCGCCGCTCTCCCTAGTCTTGTCTCATCCATCATTCTTCTGCGCCCCACCCCATCCCAGGCTCTGCTCTTTTCTCTGGGACTATATATCCCCCTCGTTTGGGTCTCTGACTCCCTCCCCCGCTTCTGGGTCTCCGTTCACCTATCTTCTCTCTGGCTCCTCTCTTGAGATCTCTGTTCCTTCTCTCTAGGTCTCTGTTTCCTTTTATCTCTGAGTCTGTCCCGCTGTCTGGCCATTGCTCTCACTAGTTCTCTACAACCCCTCTGTCTAGGTCTTTGTCGCTCTCTCTCTGAATCTCTGTCCCCCAACTCCCTGCCCTAGGGTCTCTGACCCTCTCCTTTGGGTCTCTGACCCTCTCTGGGTTTTTATTTCTCCACCCCGGGTCTCTCCATCTCTGTGTGTTTGTCAGTTTCCATCTCTCAGAGGGTTTAATCTGAAGCTAAATCGGATTGGGGCCCATTGGTCCTTGTCCTTGAGGAGAGTTAAGCTGGGAGGAAGAAGCCAGGGTATCCTGGGTCTCTAGTGGAGAAGGGAGTTGCCGGCCAAAAATTAGGCTCCTGGGGTAAGACAGACTTCCCAAAGGGTACAGGCTAGAGCTCAGAGAGACCTCCTTCCAGCCAAGGAGATGACCCCAGTGACCTGGGTGTCCCCAGAGCAGTCTGGACACCTCTCCCGAGTCCCTCACCCCCAACCCCAGCCCTGGCTCCAAGTCAGAGAAATTACTCAGCTGCGGAGAAGCCTAAAAATATCTGGCCACAGTGCGGGGAGGAGATGGCCTCATCAGTACCATGCCCCTGCCGCCATTCCCTCAGACCCTTGGGTCCCCTTGGCCCACAGCTCTGATCCCATCCTTGATTGACCAGCTCACTAGACCATGCGAGTCCTTCTCTAAGTCTAACACTAGTCATGCTTGCTGCAGATCACCTCCTAGCTCCAAAATTACCCCACCCTCCAGTAACATGAGAGATGGGAAAAAAGCTGGACAGAAGGGAGGGGGCAGGAGGATGACAGTGATGGGAGAGGGGTGGGGAGATGAGATAACCTCACCCCTTCTTTTCCTAATCTTCCAGCCCCTCCCCACCCTTTTTCTCACCTCCTTTCACGAGTTTCTCAAAATACATCAGTGTGAAGTCAGGAGAGGGAGAGAGACGTGCTGGTGGAGGGGCTGGGAAGGGGGACAGCAGCGGGAGGGATGTGTTTCTCAGGCGCTCTCCCTCAGTCTCCGTTTCTCAGCTTCTCTGTGTTTGGGTTTTTCTCCATCTGTCTCTGCCTTACCGTCACCTCTCTGAGCTGCCTTCTGAGCCCCTACAGACCCCAGAGTTCAGGGCTCCCACCAGGACAGTCACCAAGGAGTTTGAGCCCAGAAGAGCATCTGAATCCTGGGGTTCACTTTGATGGTTGGCGAGAGGGGGGGAATGCCCTGTATTGGACATAACACCCTGATTCCTTTTAATCCTCTAGACAAAGCTGGGAAAACTGAGGCACACTTGGAAAAGGGGGGGAAAACAATGGCTGAGTAAATATGGCATCATTCGAACCCAGGTCAGTCTCCCTACCAAGTCTGGGATGGAGGCTGCAGACTTCCTCGAGATGAGTGATGCTGGAGTGGGTGGAAAACTCCCTCAGACCAGGAAACACACGGTAACCCAGGTGACTTGGGACAAGGACAAGGGGGGGGGGAAGGGGAATACAGGAGAGACAGGAGCCAAAATACCTCCTTTCTGAGAGCCAGGCCTTGGGAGGGGTGATGCTGAGGGCCAGGAAGTGATCAGG